AGGAGCTGGGACAGACGGCAGTCAAAGAGGCATAAGCTGCTCACTTTCCCACCGGTGCCTGGCTCCCCTCTGTGCCAGCAAGGGCCACTGAGTCCTGCTGCATGCACTTGGAGCCTGGGAGCTGCTGCTTTGAACAGATGCCCTTTTCAAGATGCTGTAGCTCCTGTTCCTTCTGCATGCCACTTAAGTTATCTATAATGCATTTTTGGCATCTATGACATAGATTATTACTGCCTTAATTTTCAACTCTGCGTGTGAATATGGCACATAAATGCTAGTGAAGTCTTACACAAAAATTTACTAGTTTGGAGCTGCCATTTCCATGCGATCAGCTTAGTTTTTCAAACTTTTGCTCTAAATACATATTGTTCCAATAATGCATACTTTGATAGGGATATTTGTTTACAATCTCCCAGTACATATATATAATATAGTTATATCTAAATACTTCTATTAAACACTGCCAGAGCTTAATTTTATAAAATCATACTTTTGCACAAAATGCAATCTAGCAGAATCCATCTATGACATTGTTTTATTCCAAAGGGCCTAACTATGCAATTTGGAAAATCTATCCTGTAGATGGAATTTTTACTCTGCCTGATAAGCCCACCTATCTGCAGCTCTTTGTTAACCTTGTACAGTATGTGGGATAAAAAAATGCAATGACATGATTTCTGAATTATTTTAAGCTGGCATTGATACCAAAGAAGGTGGCCCTTCCCTGTTCTGGTGCTAGTCAGGCAGTCCTGCCCTTCTGTTGGATCGTCCTTTGTGCTAAGACATCACGCAATTGAGCAGTAAAGGAGATCAGGCTTAAACTTAACTGATTTTCTTTCTGCTGGGCTAGTTTTAACCCAATCCAGTTTGCTCTGCAGCTGTATAAATGCTTTTACAGGCACAAGGAAGGGCATGGAGGGCTTGGGTGTGAAAATGAGCGGCTTATGGCAGAAGGAGGACTGTCTTTCTCAGCCCTACTACTGCCTTATCATGATAATGAAACTATGACACTACTCATTTTGAAATTCAGCTTATAATTTAACATACTGGCCAGCATAGCTGATTAATGTAATAAGGTCTTTAACTGTTCACAGATGATACCAAGATAATTGGGAATACAGATTTAAAATGCGCTACTGATCGTTCCATCTTATGAAACTGCACCAACCAAACCTACTATGCCAAATCTCAACCACTCTTAACCTAGCCTGGTGTGCTTTGTGCTCACAGTAAGGTGAAAACAATCTAAAGAAAGATGGGTCTCAAAAGACATAGTGTAAAATTGCAGGTTTTGCTATTCATGACACAGATTTCCACTGAAGAATTCCTGGAACTCACCCTTGCTCCAGCTTTCCTAGCCTGTACTTTCCTTAGGTAAGCCCTGCTACCATTCTTTTAATATTTTATTATTGCAACTGTTAAAAGGGTCAAATCATAGGAAACTTAAAAAGTGAATTAGATGTCTGTTGTCTGAGATTATACAGATTATACCCAGATACTTCATTTAGACTTCTGTTCAGTTGATAACAAAACAGAGCTTTGGATTTTTTTTGAACTCTAATCTCTCTGAATCTTTGAAACGTGCCTTCTCTATTGTCTGTGACTCTATGCTCAATTTTTTACTTACTGTATCATTCATTCAATTACACTGTTCGAAGTGTAAGTGGGAACCTACCCACATTCTATAATACCAGGTTATGTAATCAGATTAAAAAGCCATCTGCAGCACAAACTGAAGCTGCGTTCTAATCGTGTTCCCCGGCTCACTTAGAACTTTGGCTTACACGGGATCTGTGTCTTGTCAAATCATTCACTGACTTCTCCATTACTCTTCTGATTCTGCAAACTGAAAATGCATGGTAACTGATATGGTTGAATATTTGAGTGATTAAATCATCATGCTTTGAGTACAGTCAGTTCAGATACCATTTCTTAGATTTAAGGGAATATTCATGGCAGTTTGAAAGGAAAGCAAAACGAAACTCAATATTCATTCAGTGCCTATACTTTGAAAGCACATGAAGAAAAATGCATCAAAAGTTTGCATCTTCTGTCACTCCGCAGCCAACAGCAGCACTAGCAATTGGTTTAATGCTAATGCATCTCTCATGTGGTTTTGCAAATTCCTGAAACTAAAAATACTTGCTTTTAACAAGTATTTTCACAATATCTATTTTAGCTGGTCTTATACACAGCAAAGTCCCAGTTCATCACTAGCAAAAGATAACGCAGTGTTAGTTTGTTGTTGCTAAAGTCATCTTTATTCACCAAAAGCCCGTTTAAATAGTAAAATTGGAAGCTTGCGCTGTACATTGGCTTAAGAGATCTTTATGAAGTTATCGCAAGGCTAGGCTCCCCTTGCAGCCGTTTTAAAAACGGCTTTAACATAAAGGACTACTGTCAGTTATTCTCAGTCAACAGACTCAAAGCCACAGGCTGTACAGAGGCTCTCAAAGAGCTCCCAGTTGCAAGGCAACACCGCACATGACAGAAAGCACTCTGCATTCAGTCCAGGGCAACGGGATCTGTTCTCCGACCGTTACTGGAAAAAGGCTGAAAAAGAAAAGAGGCAACGAGATATGCACAGACGTACGGCAGAAAGAAAACAAAACAAACTAGAAAAACCAAGCAAGAAAACCATCCAAGGAAATGCGAGTTAGGCTGAAATGTTACAGCCAGAGAAAGTAAAAGAAAGGCGAGGCACCGCTGAAGAGAGCGAAGAAGTAAGGCGCTGCAGAAACACAGACGTTAGCGAATAGGAAGCAAGGGTGTCTTAACCTTTTGAGGTTGAAGTACGTTTACGCACTCGGCTCAGCAAGTGAAAGTGGCGATCTCTGCCCCTCAGAGAGAAACGCCACCCTCCTCCGCCCCAGCCGGGGAAACGC